TAGAAAACGTTCACAAAAAGTCGTGTAATATGCTACCTCAAAGCAGTGAATTTGACAGCAAGAAATTGAGTAAACCTCGTTTAAAACGAGGTAAACAAGTAAACTACAGAGGCAAGCAGAAGAATTACTGGTGCTTGAGAGCCATAATGAAGGCAAATGATTTTCTCGCAATAGCACGTCGACAACAGTCGAAACACGTTTTTGACCCTTCCCTCTTTGTCTTCTTCCTCTCTCCCTCTCTCAGTGTTCTCCACCTATGTAACCTTCTGATCAACTTTAAAAAGGGGTGAAGTCATAAAAAACACTACACCAGTAATTCCCAACTGTTAGCCCATATTTGAAGATAAAAAAGCCGTTATAATGTTAAATGCAGTTCTACTAATTTCCTAAACAGCAATTGAAAAATTCAACATAACTATATTATATTATCCTCCTGCGTAACAATGATTTTTTTCTGATCAGTTTTTCCACCATATCACTGGTAACCGAGAAACAGTAAACAGCTATGAATATCACAAAGTACAGTGTTCAAACGCTGAGGGTTTGAAACTAAGTTTTCCGGTTCTTCCGTTTATTAAAAAGTCTGTACTGCACCAAAAAATCACTTCATATTTGTAATAAGAAATTTGATATTTTCGACAAGTTTGTATTTTTGGATGTGCGCATGCGTAGAATAAGAGTGAGGAAGAACTGAGGATGATACTTCAGAACCCGTAATCACTAATCCGGTTCACGCTCACGCTTTTTCTTTTCTTGTAGCAGGCACTTGAGACAGACTTTTGAGACAGTGATTCTGCTTTCAATATATAAGCAAGAAAAAAGAAAAGGAAAAGAAAGATTAACAGCAATAGAACCGCCTAAACAGTTTTAAAAAAATCACATAAGATTGTTTAAAAGCATTAAAAAACTGTCAATAAAAACTGAAACAATGCGGTTATCTGTCAACCTTAATTCTACAGTACCATATCGAAGAGAGAAAAAAAATTGTTTATCCCTCTAACACTGCGTAAAACTTTGTTGATTAGTGTAATTTCTCTGCTTGTTTTGTAAGTCCATATTGTCTGTTTCTTCAGCGCTATCATTTTTTTTTTTTTTTTTTGAATAGAAAAATTCAAAATGACAAATGAAAGAAGAGATGAAGAGGAAAAAACGAACAAAGAAAATCTTTCTCTAAACAGATAATTTAAGCGGTCATTTCTCCAGAGATTTTTTCCTTTCACTTTGCTTCTTTCCTTCAGTTTTTTTTCTACACTGAGTTTATTCATTTCAAAACGGAAGAAACAATTTGTTTGCTTATCTTTTGCAACAACTTCAAAAAAAAACATAAAGTAAGTACAGACAAATTTTTTTTTTTTTTAGAAATATTACATTTTTTCGCTTTTCTTTGCGTCAGATAAAAAAGACGAAAAATTTTTTAAAACTTCAATTTACTAGTGGAACTTCAAGTTCCATCTATTTGGAAAAAAAAAACACAACTAAAGAAACAGCAGAAAAAAGTAACGCACTGATTGTCCGTTAAGCAAATATTTTATCGTCTTTGTTAAATGTTTGTTATACAGCAATAGAGCAACGAAGATAAAGCAAAAAAGTGTTCCCAAAAGAAACTAAAAATGTCTCACCAAAAAATAAAAAATCTGAATATTTACGAAAATAAAACTGTTTCAACAAATAAAATAAAGAAAAAATAGAGAAGAAAAGCAGGAAGAAGTAGTAGAAAAAAGAGGTTGAGATATAGAAGAAGAATAAAATCTTCTGCTTAATTTTCCAGAAGTGAAAAAAAACAGCAAAAACTTTTCAAAACTGAAATTTAAACAGAAAAAAATAAAATAAAATAAGTACTAACTTAACGCAAAACCAATATGCTCGCTATAAAAATAATAAATAGAGGAGAACGAAAGCCAATGTTCAACTTACAATTTGCCAGTTTTATGACGCTCCTCCTACCGACACCTTAACTTTGGTAAGCTTTTTGATGTTTTATACCGCATTAATACACTTTCTGTTACCGGCCCTGAGAAACTACTGCCTGAACACAGGTTACTGTTTCCACCAAAAACGACGATAGTCAATGGAGATGCTGTTACCGCTGCTGCCGTTGTTGTCGTTGTTGACGATGCTGATTTTGGTATCGCTGTTAATACTTTTATAGCTACTCCTACTGCTAAAAGAAAAAGAATTACCAGGTCTTCATATACACAAACAAATTCGTTCAGTTTTCCTCTGTGATACGTGTAATATATACATATCGTCTAGTGGCAATTATTGAATTTACTACCAAGATTAAAGTAAACAAAAAAGCAGAAGTGATAATTAAGCGGAATAATTGATGGTTTTGTTCTGCTTATCACTCATCATCCGACAACAAATTTTCATTAATCAATAATCACCAATTTCTTCAGCACTTCTGTATCCTGCATCTTCAGGCAAATCATGAACAAAACACATCTAAAACGAGTAGTACGACGCATCAACTGGCAGCAGTTGTACATATACAGCTAACAAAATTAGATAGGTGAGTGAAGTAAGCATAACAAAAATATAAAAATAAAAATTTTTTCAAATTTCTACTTAACTTTAAAAAATATGCTTCACTTATGAGAACAGATATGTAACATTATCCATAATTCATCAATATATTACTACTTTAAATGCTTACATTAATTATTCTTCAAAGACCCACATAAACTGCTTGCATGAGAATGAGCTAGTTTCCTTCTCTATCATATTCCTCATTCAATTTACATCTCCTATTTTTACCACTAATTTCTCTCCTCCCCAGTTCGGTCATTTTTTCAAAACACCTACTCTTCACACTTCCACAACATTAACCAATAGATACAAATTTACGTCTCTTTACTTTTCCTTTTACCAAAGCGGTACAATGATAAAAGATAATGCACTAAATTTTGACGTCTGGGAAGAAAGCCAAAATGGGATCCAACTCAGTTGATCCCTTTTTTCTACAAACTTTTGATCAATCTGGCGAAGCAAAACCTTAAAAATAAGATAAAGCGTGTGAGAGGCAGATGAGATAAAAGAAAACTTATAGAACTTTACCCTCTTTTTCTGACTGCAGCACACAAATTTCAATGTGATTCTCGAAGCTTCTTCCGAAGTATGTCAAGTATGCACAGCATACATAAGCATGCATCGTTTATACACATTGCATAAAAAGATATATGTAAATAAGCATAAATATGCATTAGATACATATACTATTATACACATTTTTTATGATAATACACTATATATATATATATATATATATATATATATATA